CATGGGGAGGTGCAGCACAGATCGCCGTCACATGGGGAGTGTGCCAGCACAGATCGCCGTCACATGGGGAGTGTGCAGCACAGATCGCCGTCACATGGGGAGTGTGTAGCACAGATCGCCGTCACATGGGGAGTGTGTAGCACAGATCGCCGTCACATGGGGAGTGTGCAGCACAGATCGCCGTCACATGGGGAGTGTGCAGCACAGATCGTGCGGGCGTGGCAGCCCCTCGTGGCCCACTCACAATGGCGTGCGGCTTGACCGTCAGCCGGCAGTCGAGCTGTACGTCGCTTCCCTCCCTGACGACGACCACGCTGTTGGACAGCTGGCGAAAGTGCGAGTGGTTGCTGCCGGACTGGGCGGCGAGCGTCGAGCCCGGCCGCCAGGCGCGCGGCGTCGTCGACGACGTGACCGTCGGCACCGACGGCGCCTGGGCGACCGACGGCCGGAAGATCACATCTGGCAGCGCACGCGCCGAGGTTAGTTGCAGTCAACGCGGAGCCTCCGCGATGGTAGCATCTCAAGGTTACCAGACGAATGGCAATGGTAACATAGACGAATTGTCCAGGCGAGCCGCGGACGGAATGCCCGGATTAAGAGTGCATCTAAGAAAAACAACTTGATAAAACATGATTTGTTCATCCAGCTCAGATTTCCTCTTCAATATGTCAAAGACATTGTGTGGTAAAAAGTGGATTCAAACTTTTGCGGAGCACACTATCTCTTAAACGGGCCGAGTCTACCAAAGATGTTGCGGTACCACCGGTGTGAGCCCTAGGGTGAACAGGTTCCGCTTGAAAATCCCCACATTGCTGGAATAAAAACATGCGTCGTACAACTGACGTGTCGCACAACAAGCGTGTAAGTGCGTTTGTTTTGCCGCTGAACACCGTATGTAGGTATCTTGCATTCCAAAATAAAACCCCGTTCATGCATAATGTCATGTTTCATGGGTGATTTTCAACACCTCAGCAAGTACTTTTCAACACGCGACCTCCATTATTGGGAGGTCGCGCATTTGAGCCCGGGTTCACACAGCATCCTTCTACCAGTTCCTTATGGAATATGACGAGTTGGTAATGGCCTTCAAGAGGTGTCAAAGCGCATTGAAAACATATTTATTGGACGCTGGTGTGCAAACAGAAAGTGGTAAATAAAAGTAGGAGTAATGCACAAACGTTTTGTTTTGCTCCAGAGCAAGGTGTGCAATTACCTCTCCACCAGGAGTCGAGCACCCCTTAACTCATGTGCTGACCCTCACTCTTACGCTTACTAGTTCGGTACTTCCGTTATGGAGTACCTATGCCACGTACGCTGACGCCAGCAATCACAAATGGAGGTTCCCAATCATGGAACGGGTCACAAAAGCTGTTCACACGTTACAGGCTGACTTTGGAACACAGTGCAGATGCTGCAGCCGCTAGCTGCTGCAAACAGGAGGTGCCACTTTTGACGTCACAGGCGCTCTTTTTGCCTGCAAAGCTCGGGTAAAAAGGGCTCAGAAGTTGTGCAGATAGTCTGCAGCACCCGGCGACCGTATGACCTGCTCCGCGTTCGGTGCAGACTTCAGCCTGCGCTGGACTTTAAGTACCACTTTCGCGCCTTTTTTACCCGCGGTCTGCAGGCCTGCGGGCTTTAATGTAACACTATTGATCTGCTGCCGCTGCCGGCCGCGCATCATGTATCAGATTCTGCAGTTAGCCTTTCACGTGCATAGTGTTCAGGTCGTTCCAGAGCTAAGATCGCTTCGCGCTAAGATCGGATCGCTTTCAGCGCGTTCCACGACATTAAAGGAATTGCGCGCGCGCCTGTGGTGCGCTAAAGTCGGTCTTGAGCGGAATTTCGAGGGCTGCTGCTTGCCCATTATGAAATCCTGCGTGGCCCCTGCATGCCCTAGTAAGGCGCTACCTTTGAAATCAAACGTTTGTTTCTAGTTTCTGGAGATATTTGCGTGCTACGTGACGGGAAAATTGGGCTGGGCGACGAGGCTCGAGACAACTGTGGAGAAAAGCTAGAAGGAAACGGCAGTATTCATGGGTGAACTTGAATAACATCAATTGACACGACGAAAACGGCTCACCTCCACGAAAGAACCAGATATGGTCGTAAGAAATCCATCGTTGAAGTGTTCTTAAAATATATATTTATCGTACCTCTCCAGCATCCCCCAGCTTCGCGAGTTGAACATAATTGCCACCGGTTTCGTAGCCACACACGAGATGTTAGGGGCTGACAGTTCTGTGTACATGTTAAGCTGGTTGGTAGGGACAAACGAGATTATCTGGGCCCACGAAGTAGTAAAGCAGACATCGCACCCATCAGCAGAGGAGCTCCGCGCTATGCTGCAACGGCAGTGCAACTGTTCCGTGCTATGCCATAAAAAGTGGCACTTAGCGTTGCCCGCCATCGAGACAGCTGACCACAGCACACGTCTTGGATCTAGCGGCTTCGTAATGGTCAGACATAATTCTCAGTTTGCCGAGCACCGAATAATCAGCTGGCTCCTAAATCTGCTGTACTCCCCATCGCGAGCTGACTCACGCTCACAGCAAAACGCACTACTGGAACAACACCGGCTCAATACGTCAAATTTGAATTTGTTAGTACTTTGCAGGAGGACAATGCTATACCACAAACAAATTCTGTCGGTCCCAGCGAGTGCCGAATAACTTACTTTGGACCAACTGCTGTGACGGCAACGAAGATGAGATGGCCAGAGACACACCGTAGATGGCCGCTGCAGTGACGGCCACCAGGAGCAGTTTGTCCAGCGTCCTGCGCTGCGGCACCTGCTTGCTGATGCCCTGTAAAGAACGCAAACCTGTCCGGTCAGGCCCGCACCTCTGGGGGGCGTGTGGCCGGGCGCCTCGCTGCTGTCCGACGTCCTGCCCACGTCACAGCGCTGCTCAGCGTCATACTGCTGCCCGACGCCTCGCTGCTGTCCGACGTCCTGCCCGACGTCACAGCGCTGCTCAACGTCATACTGCTGCCCGACGCCTCGCTGCTGCCCGACGCCATGCTACAGTAGCACATTGACATGTTAACATATTACCACATATGGCTCACAATACACCACTGTGACTTCTTGAATGCGGCAGGCGGACGCGCGAGGAACGCGCCGTATGCGGTCGCTTATATCAGAGACCGTGAGTGCAGACAGAAAGAGATAACCGCTGAAGTACTCGCTTGCGTATTACAGCGTCGGCCTGTTTGTGTTACAGTACTGTTGTAAACATTAACGGTTGCCACACGTGTAAGCGTTACCATTTTCTTCTAACGAGTGATCAATTTCTGGGTTTGCCCTCACGCGACGAACAGAAGCAGTGTCACCGACTTCCCTCGTACGGCGAGCATATCTAAAAAACGAAGTTGTCCCCAGATTTCGCCCACATTACAAATTCACTTCCTAGATATATAAATTAAGCACAGCCACCTCTCAGCCCGGCGGGATCCCATGACTTGTAAATCAGTGCCTGCTCTTGGACTGGTGGACTTCGACTTTTAGAAGCAGAAACGCCGCCATAGCTCGATCAGTTAGTGCGTGCTGCCCAGCCCCACATATGACGGTGTGGGTAGGTTTGAGTCTCCCTATTTTTGCCCTCAGCGCGCCACATTTGCCGTTTGCCCCATTTTCTTTTAGGGTCTCATCCGGGCGAGTAGAAGGTTCTTTCGAAGTCTCCTGAGCGTGGGCAATCCGATTGTGGGTATTCCACGTATAGGCCTTCCGGGCATTAAGCCTTTCTGACATAGTTTTTCCGACCCTCATCTTTCCCAGTTCGGGAGACAAGCTCACCGTTGCTGCTTCGTCAGCGGCGAAACTGCTCCGTTGCTTTTTGAGTTACTGGCTCGGGCGAGTGAATGGGCAGCCGTAGAGGACAACAGCCATGCTTCGACAACTTGGATGTATTTTTATGCGTTTGGCCCCCCATTCAGGGATGCTAGTTCACGACTTGACCGGTGTAACGTTTACGTACTGAAACTAGACTTTAAAGCAGTTTAACAATTACGCACTCCCCTATCCTGGATTTTTCTTGTCGACGTTGATTTACAGTGAATGCTAATGCATCGTCCAGTTCAACGACGGCTCACATGTCACATGCATGGGTGCCCGCTTCAAAAGGACCTGGCCTGGAACCCCCCCCCCCCTCCCCCCCCCCTCTGAAAGGAGACCCCATGTTGTTCAGGAAGCCGTCTGGAAAAACCTTTCCTCGACTTATACCTCCTGGCGGCCGCCCCTGCCAGACCCAATAAATTGATGTCGGGAATCCACATCAATGAAAAGTCTCCACCAATCTCTTGATGCACCAGCTAATTGTTATAAATGTTATCATGTGCAGTGTCTTGACCACAAGGGCTATTCATTGAACCATATCCTATGATACTGTATTGTAGCGTGCTTGGTAATATGCTACACCTTTGATCTAGATCCCAGTGATAAACTGATCAGAAGCAATGCTGTCAACCCGATACAAGGCTATACATTATTGATACCCATACTTCCCCCTTTTTGCAAGGTTTACATAGATCATAGACATATATCATAGATCAACATAGATCACATGACACTCTCATTAACAAATCCAAAGTGCGCCTAAAAAAGAGCCACGGTGGTACACGCCATAGGGGAGAAATAAAAGCATTAGGATAACGTTACGTTGAATTCGCCTCATAGTGCGTTGATGTTCGCATATCTTTTGGTCCAAACAGTGTTTCAATCTTTTGCTGCATTTGTTACACAAACGTTTAGTCTGTTGCAAATATTATGGGCACACGCGTTGGAAAAAGGGCGAAAAATAAAAGGTATACTTTCATGGTGGTGAGCAGGGAGTCAAATGACATTTCTCCCGCAGGGTTGGCCACTTTAGATGCAAATTCCGGTCTATTCAGAAGGGTTTAGGGAGAACTGGTAGTGCTAGTGTATGGTAGTAGTAAATGGAACTTCCGGTCTATTCAGAAGGGTTTGGGGAGAGCTGGTAGTACTAGATAAATTGCGCTTGCATGATGTATCAATAACTGACAAGGATAAAAAAGGTTGGAGATTCCCTTTAATGCCAATCATGCTAGATGTATTAGTGACATGAGCGGGTGTCGGCAATTCTTAGTCACCAGCCACCTAACCGCCACAGTGTTCTGGTCGTAGGTTTGCGGCACGAGGCGTGACCGTTTGGGACTGTTTCATGGAGAAGCGGCAGTGTTCCAAACGAGCACAGAAAGGCGCATTCAAATTTTGGTTTGGGTATATAAATACTCAACGATTCGGCACAGAAAAATCCCCAGACCACGAGCGGAATGGAAAAAGTGGAATAGAAAAGTCGAACAAAAAAGTCGAGGGGAAAGATGAAAGGGATAGAAGTCGACAAAGGTGTAATTCAAATGAAAAAGTCAAACGAAGAAAAGTGAAGGTGAATAAAAGTCAACAGGCGTAGTCGCCGAATTGAAAATGTCGAGGAACAAGGAGTATAAGGAGATGAAAGGTGAATCTGGAGCGATTTGATGACACAAGTCAGAGGGGGTAACGCGTATACAGGGTTAAAAGACGAGGCGGAAAAACATTGAAGGACGGCTATTGGACGGCAAGTGCCACCAGACGGCGGGCGTCGTGTTAATCTGTCTTCTGGATAGATAAAGACCTGCAAAAACACGAAAAATAGAGATCCTATCTTTCCTCTTCCAGTTCAATCACCAGATTCCAGCACCACTTCACGGTGCTTTAAGGGCCAATCCGTTCTTTTCGTCAACCAAAAAATTGCCCACGTGAACTATGCGTTCAGACTGCCTTCTAAATGTAAGATGTGATGTCATGAAGCGTTCAAGAATACTTTTTCCGGAACGTCGTCATTTTCGTCCGCCCGCTGGCTACAGCTTGGTATCAGCTGCCAGGCCGACGTTGCCCAGCCCGTGGAGACTGCAACGCCTGGGGTCGAGACTTGTGTTTCCAAGATTTTAGAGTGTGCATGCTCAAAGTTATGCCACATAACTTGTATTAATAGTGGATTACAGTGTTTAAAGATAGTCATTTCAGAAGCGTCATCATTGTCGTCCACTGGTGGGCCACGGCTAAAAGTATTAAACAACGTAATGGGACACATTTTTACAAACTTTGAAATTTTGCAACTTCGGGTCGTTTTCAAACGTTGAAAGCTTACCAATGATCACAAGTTGGCTTTTCCCATCACATCTGATGCCTACCTCAGTATCTTAAAATCTGGAACATTCCCTTTAAAGGTTATATTTCACACTTGAAGAATGGGTTTGGAATGGAATGGAATGGGTTTGTGACGGCAGCAATACCTGGTAGCATCTGGCAGCCAGACCTAAAGAACACCTCGCAACACACGAAAGCTGGCGTCAACCAGCCACTGTGGCCCCTAGCGCTGCGTTGGGTGGTGGATTAGTGAATGGCTTGTTTGTGGGTTGTTTGTCTAGGTAGATTGGTCGTAACAGAAGCTTTGGTGGGCTGTTTGAGATACGCAACGTAGCGGTCGCCAGCTTTCAGGGCAGATTATTAATTTAAAGCGCGACATGCTGTGAAGACTGTCATGTAGCGTCATGAACCTCTTACCGAAATCTGCCAACGACGGTTGACAATGTCAGTAATGTATTAAGACTTATCCTTTCCTGCAGTGCTCTAGTCCTGACATTGATGGCATGTGATGTGCACCGTCGTTACTTTCTTTAATATTTGTGACTGGAAATGCAATTGTATGCGGAAATTAATAAATATCTAGTATTGCTATGAATTAATTGCCAAAGCTTTGTTATTTTTATGGTGAAGACGGTGACGTTGAGCTTCGAAAAATGTTTTTCTTGCTTCAGATTGTCTATGCAATTACTAGTTAACCTTGAAATCATCATTGTGGTGCAACGGCGTTCGTGCTGATGATAGTCCCTTGGCGTTGTTAAATCAGTTCTTACCAGCCATTCATAACCTATAAGTTGTTATCCCATAGGCTTGACAAAGAGCAGTCAACTAATGTGGTACCTTGTGTAATGGCACAGGTCAACATTGTCATCGCTGACACTACCTTAGCGCTGTACAGTGGCATGGTATAATAAACGATGATGCGGTTTTCGTACTGCAATCCCTGCTGCTTTCATAATAAATTCCATCAGTGAAAAGATGGGTCAAGCATGCATTCTTGTATTAACTTCGCATACGACACATGAGTGACCAAAAACACCTGATACAGTACACAAATCACTTTCAGCAAAGGACACAACCAATAAGTGACATCACTTCCTCAACCTGTTCGAAAATCCAGAAAACACAGGGTACAAGAATGCAAACACGTCTTCTGCTTCCACGGCCATGAAACATGCCGCAGCCACCAGGCTACTTCACTCGAAAATATTGTTCACGCAAGTAAGAACATATGAAAGAGAAAAAATATTACGTGTACTCAAGTGTGCACCGCAAACCTGTTGACCTTGCACAACCCTGTAGATATGACAAGTGCATGTAGTTATGGTTATATGGGCAAAGTGCAAAGGGGTGATAAAGCTGCCAGTGTAGACAAGGCTCACGATAAATTTATTATTAATTGCCATCGAAGAAACCAACAGTAATACTTATCCACCTTTCTTAGAATCTAGCATCCCACGCAAGTCGCAGTGACTATGACAATGATGACTCAGAATCAATGGTTGCGTGCATACAAGATTTGTTAAGACAGTCGTATGTGCACCCATAATAATACAGTGCTACATTTTCAGAGTGCTCAAGTGAATGCCAATTCTACAAAACTGCATCATGCGAGCTTATACCGAACATATTCATTAATGAGTTGTGCTGACCTGTCTCTACTGCCTAAATCAGTTGTTGATATAATGACATGAAATGGATCAATTACATGCTGCAATACCTCAATAGGTCCAAAATGTTGGCAAGATCGTAATGAAGAAGCAACTTACTTTTGACCACCCCTATCGCATGGGTGCTGGTGTTTCTTTCAGTTTACCGACATCACTACCTTGTCACGTTCAAATGCAGACGTAAAGGTAGAGGCGGGAATCAATATATCAAATTTTATCAGGAGTCATTAGATTTAAAGGATACCAAAACGATGTTCTCTCTCAGAAGTACAAACCTCGCGCACGCACTCTCCATCACGTCAAGATCAATACAAACCACTGGCACGCACCACCAGTGATCACGCCCATTTCCCGCGCCTGATTCACGATTTTTTACAGCATGTAATTTTTTCGCACAGATTTTTTATTGTAACACCGCATTTCACCGTGAGCTTCCTTCAAAACAATGTCCCAGCCGGGATTCATGGTATTACAACTTAAGAGATTGCGCTGTATGACACGATTTTGTCGTTGTTCAAGTTTCAAACTTTCCTACAACATGTGTTAACTATTTAGTAAAACATTTATCTGAAATAACTGTCATATTTCCCTAATTTTAGAATGCCTTGCGAACCCATAAACCCGTGCAAAGTTCCTGGCTCCGGTACGCAAGGCACCAACCGGGCTGTCTTTAAGAAATACGTCAGTACAAGAAGAAAAAAAACGCCAGCAGGAGAAAAAAGGCAAACCTGCCGTCGCGGACTATGTTTTTATAACAGTCGGGAAAGTGCCGTTCCTTTTCTGTGCTGCATTTTTTGCAGACATCTTTTCATTATATTGACCTATGGTCTAGAAATGAGGATAAATGCCCTGTTGGCGACGAGTTCCGCACAATCTGTATCTGCTCACGCTTACGTTCACGGGACACATTCAGCGGCGAAATCTTACCGACAGCCAATCACCTTCCGCGGATTGTATCGTACGTGCCGCATCATCGCTCTTGCGAATGTATCACTGGCCATGTTATTTTTACCATAAGCAGAAAACCGTCTGTAATATAGCGACAATCCTATGACGTTTCTATGACGACATCAATGCCAAGGTGACTTTGAAACAATTTCCCAATATGCCTTCTCGCACTTTTGCGGGCGTATTACTCAGGAACCAGAGGGTTTCGGGCCTTAAAAAGGGCATGACCGTGAACTGGATCAAAAGGTGCTCAAGATGGCTATTTCAGTTCAAGACTTCAGGTAAAGGTGGAACATACCCCGCAACTAGCCACCGAAATCTCCCCCCCCCCCCCCACACACACACACTGTGCGCGGACAGACTCAGCTGACCTTGATACGGGGCCATGACCGATGTCGCAGGACGTCCACACGGCTGATAAGCATCGCGGCCCAGACGCAACCGCTCTCCAGAGGTCGTTGACCTCGGGCCGGGTGGACGTGAACCGCGGCCGACACGAGGGCACCCCCGCGCTACCTCCCGTGGTAGCAAGTGCACGCTGATTAGAGGCGGTCTGATATCTCTATGGAAGAGGGACCGGAAGAGGGACCTGACAGAGGCCTGACGTGGCAAGAGCTGCTACTTGACGTTAAACGGCGACGAGGCATGACGCCGTTGTTAAACGTGTACATCGCAATGAATGCCTGGGCCCGTGGTCAGTGGTCGAGTGGGAACTAGTACGGATGCACAAGATGCCATCTTGGTCGCTGATCTATTTCTTAGGTTTCTATTTGGTCTCAAATTGTGGGTAAAAGAAATACGCTCTTTCAAAGCCTGTCGTTTTCCCACTTAGTATGATAATCTTCGCTGAAATTCGTTATCAGGCGTGTGTGTGTGTGTGTGTGTGTGTGTGTGTGTGCTTATGGTCTCCACGGACTTAAGATGCACTACTCTGTCCTGGCTGGTGTTCTTTCGTTGGATTAAAAACCTGGTGGTCCAAATATCTTCTGTTTAGAGGTTGTAATCGCTACAACCACCACAGTAGCCAGTAGAGATGAATTCCATCGGTAAAACTCTTGAAAGCAGCGAGGTGATTTCACTCACCAAGCTCTGAGTCTACGAGGTGCGCAATAACATTTCCCTTTGAAACGAACGTGCGTCAGCTGTGTACATCCTCAATGAGCCTTAGGTCACCTCCACCAATGCTCCTCGAGTTTATGCGTTCAGCCAAGAGAGCATGCGTGCGCGCGTGCGTGCGTGCGTGCGAGCGTGCCAAGAGAGCCCTGCTGCGGTACGACGAAAAAGCTCCAGAGCCTTCCACGCGCCCTACTGACGCATATTCACTAGTGATGCAGCGCGGTCGGGCTGTCAGGTGGCCAAATTGCGGCTCAGTTTCGTGCTGCCGGCTGCTGAATGTTGTCGCTGGCGGCTGTTGTCTTCGAGGTGTGCGGAGATAACAACATGGATGAGGAGAGGGTACGCTGGCAAACAGGTAGAAGTCGGGTAAACACGCGCAACTCTGTCACGGGGAGCCCACATCGGCTCCGGTTCAGCGTGACGCTCGGTTCGCTCCGTTAAGCTCGTTCCTTACGCTTACTGCTTCGAAAGTACAGAGATGCGGATTGTGTAAAGCTGATTCGTAAGTACAGAGATGCGGATCGTGTAAAGCCGATTCGTAAGTACAGAGATGCGGATCGTGTAAAGCCGATTCGTAAGTACAGAGATGCGGATCGTGTCAAGCCGATTCGTAAGTACAGAGGTGCGGATCGTGCAAAGCCGATTCGCAGTGACCGGACATTGGGGTAGGCCTTGAGTGAAGCTCACAACGGCGAGCGCAAGCGGAGCGCCCGAGTCCAGTGCGCGGCGACGTGCGCGACATCGTGTGCTCAGTCCAAAGTCAGTCACTCGGGACAAGCCGTTCCAGGGCAATGACCGCTGGGACAGACAGGAGCAGGGCTCGGACATTTCTTTCTGCCTTAAATGCTGCAACAAAAACTTATCTCTAGAAAAGCCTCCGGCGTCATCCCGGCACATGAAAACCTGACGTACTCCGAGTCATTTACTCTAATTCGACATTCTAACCAGCCTGTACTCAGCCCGAATTTTGACATCTAAACCGTTGAAGCAGATGCTTCTCCAATGACGCAAAATTCCTATCCCCCGCGGAATCTCGCCTTCCAAGGGGAACAAGGTTGAAACGAGCGAATAATTTTAGGAACCTGGGTAGCGTTATTTGCTAAATGGAAAAGGTGAGACCATTAGGTAAGACTGTACACCAGTAGGAAATAGCCTTGTTTCCAACATGTCTTACGCGAATTAAGAGTTGGCAAAGTCCTCCATCTCTAACCCGTCTCTCCTCTACCCCCCCCCCCCTCCTCCCGGTCACCCGGCTTGCCTCCAAGTAAAAGCGTTTGAAAGTGCTACCCTGAGCCTGATCCATCCACTTTTGGAAACGCTCCCACGCCTAGGAAATTTCGCCGAATACAATCACAAGTCACAACACCAATGCTTCAGTTTCTACGTGGCTAAGGCTAAACAAAAGCGCATCAATAGCAATTCGTTCTTTTATCTTACTAAACACCTCACCTGTGTGCATCCGGTGGATAGGCATCCACTTTGCTACAAACAGAGAATTCTTGAACAGAAGCAACGTAGCAACAAAGCAACGCCCTTCCCCCGCCTTCCCACGCCCCCCTAGCGGACGGCAGCGGAAATGCCCTGCCCAGCATGAAGCTCCGAGAGGCAGAGGTCACAGCTATTCTTCCCCAGTGGGTATCGGCGCCAGCGGTGAGCGCAGCTGTCCTCGAGCCGCGGTCATGATTTACAGCTGCTTTCCAGCGTGGGCAGGTCGCACTGCCGACGTCACTCACCCTCAGCACGTGCGGCAGCAGAAGCGTGGTCGGCTTGTCCTCGACCATGGCGGCGATCGACTCACACTGACGTGGCGCGCGCGGCCGGCCGGCGCCGCCGCCGCCTCCCGTTATGCACCAGCCGACCCAGGCCGGGGCGGAGTCGGTCACGTGGCTGCTCGTCGCACGGTGAAACTCAGCCGGCCGCGCCGTCCCAGTTCCGTGCCGGCTTGGCCATGGACGGGCGGGACCGCTGGTGTACGTCGCGCCAGCTGCTGCTGCCGCCGCTGTTGCTGCTGCTGGTGCCAGCGCTGGTGCCGGCGCTAGTCTCAGGTAACGCCGACGATCCGGGCCTTCGCTGCAGCTGGGCTTCTTACCGCGTTGATCACCATTCTAACCACCGGGATAAGCGCAGAGGGCGACGTAATTGAATGGGTGGGCTGCCAAACTGCTAGCGGAATGACGCGCAAAGTGAAGTTATCATGGACTGCGATCTACGTCATATCGGGTATCGGGTATCCGGTATCGGGCATATTATAAAATGTGTAATGTTACAAGTGTGTAACTGTGTTAATAAAGTGTGCTTAAAGGGAATGTCCGACCTGTGCATGGGGTTTTGAACTGAAATAGCCATCTTCATGACCTTTTGATGCAGTTCACGGCCATGCCCAAGACCCAAAACCCTCTGATTCCTGAGTTATACGCCCGCAAAAAACGAAAAGGTTTATTGGAAGGCTACTTCAAAGTCACCTTGGCACTGATGTCGTTACAGAAACGTCATAGGATTGTCGTCATAGTATAGGCTGTTTTCGGCTTATGGTCAAAACAGTATGGCCGCTGATACATTTGTAGGGGCGATGATGCGGCACGTATGATGCAATCCGCGGAAGGTGATTCGCTGTTAGTAAGAGTTCGCTGCTGAATGGTTGTCGCGAACGTAAGCGTGAGCACTTTCGGGTTGTGCGGCACTTGTCGCCAATGGGGCATTTTCCTTATTCCCAGACCATAGGTCAATGTTTTAGAAAGAGAACGCCACGGTCTGCAAAAAAGTACAGCAACGGAAAAAACGGCACTCTCCCGAATATTATAAAAATATGATACGCGGCGGCAAACATACCTTTTTCTACTGCTGCCGTTTTGTTCTCCTTTTACTGACGTATTTGTCACAGACAGCTCGGAGGGCGCCTTGTGTACCGGAGCAAAAAACGTTGCACGGGTGTATGCGTTAGCAAGACATTCTAAAATCAGGGAAATATTACATACATTTTATATAAATATTTTACTAGATATTTCACACATGTTGTAGGCAGACTTGTGCCTGGTTCCCAAGATTTATTTCTGGTAACTGGTTCCTGGTTCCTGGTTCCGGAACCAGGAAGAACCCAGGAACCAGTCTGGCAATAAGTCGAAAGATCCAGCAGGAATCAGGATCCAGATTGACAATAAGTCGAAAGATCCAGCAAGAACCAGTATCCAGCTTGACAATAAGCCAAAAGATTCAACAAGAGCCAGGATCCAGCTCGACATGAAGAAGAAAGGTCCAGCACGAACCATGATCCTGCCTGATATGAAACTGAAAGAACCAGCAAGAACCAAGATCCAACTTGGATTGGACATAGGGACCCAGCAAGAACCAAGATCCAGCCTGCCATTATGTTGAGGGATCCAGCAAGAACCAAGACCCAGCCTAGAATATGCATGGTGATCCAGCAAGAACTGTGATCCAGCTCAGACTTAGATGGGGATTCAATTCCAGCAAGAACCAAGATCCATTCTAAAGTTATGTTCAGGAACCAGCAAGAACCAGATTCTTACCAGGAGTTCTTCACAGCAGTTGATGCCCACACTCCCCACCTTTTCAGGTCGAGCAATGTGTGCTGTTCTTAATGTAAATGAATAAAATTAAGTCTATGGACATTGCTGGTTATCTGCTCAGGCTGTTCTTCATATTCCATAACAAATTTGCTGTTCTTCAATGTTAATAACACTACAAATTCAGAAGAACAAAATCAATAACTTGTCACGATACAGGTATGCTGCAGACCTGCTATGTCCGCAGCTGGGCTGTTAGCTGCCTAATGTTACCCTGAAAGGAAAGGCCCTGTCTTTCGTGCGTATATCACAGAAATAATGAATACCATATATATATATATATATATATATATATATATATATATATATATATATATATATATATACGCAATCACATATCAGTTTACATAAGAAAGGCACACACATTATCAATATCAAGCGACACCCGCTCGCAACACCTCGCACACCAATGCGCCGCTACGGCGCGTCACTCATCAATGCCGCAGATAGGGAAGCTAGTATCACACGTTTCGTTTATCTAAAACCCAAAGGGAATATGACGTCAAGGAACTAAGGCTGCTGGTGATTACTCCGTGTGAGAATGCTGGACAACGGCTCTATTTTATTGAGTTCTTATTGCTCACACCAAAATACGCACCATCCAACTTGTCATAATCAATTTAAATCATCCACAACAATATCAGACACAAGCAAGGATTGTATGTGTTGAAATGCAGCTTCTCATAATAACAAATACCCTTTGAGCACATGACATGCCGCAAAGCTTGAGATGCAGCAGCAGACGTTAGGTAGCCTTGGACGCCGCTCAAAAGAGAGGAATGGAAATCTCGGATGTTTTTTCCAAGAATATACACAATGTTGCACGGTTTTTCTAAATGTTCTTTCCAGATATTCTGGAATATTTCATTTTATTCTGTTTATTCTTTTAGGCATTTCGAAAGTGGCTAGGAGATATACAAATTAAGCAACCATATATACATGCGTTATATATATATATATATATATATATATATATATATATATGTTGGAATATTTTGGCAGAATTCTTTGTTTGCTACATGTTTGATTAAAGATAACTGCTGACTCAGCATTGACGAGCTTTTTGATGCATCGTTCTAGTTTCCGGGTCTTTGACATTGCGTCATCGCTTAGATTAAAGATGGTTCGCACAAAATTACTCATATATTCATCACTCCTTCCATACTAACGTTTCGAGATCTTATCTCATCTTCGCAGAAGACTAAATTGCACAAGAAATAAGTTTTGCGTTTTAAAGGATGACAAATTGTGCCCTACTGTTGGAAGACAGCTTTTGGCACGGAGAACATAAATGAAGCATAACTAATTGAAGTAAGAGCGAATTGCTATTTTCATTTTCATACATGTAAGAAGCACTCATATGGGAACATCACAAAGACACAATGGGAACACTATCGTCACAATCACATCAGAAGTGCTCACCGCCCACCACCTAGTAGTTCAAGAGTTCTGCAAGAATTTGTCTGTCTGTTCAAGGCCGGAGAGAGTTCGTTAATGAATATGCATTCCACATTGAGGGCGTGTTCTGTCACTGCACGTCCGTAAAATGTCAGTGCCTGTCTGTCAGTTGTGTCAATGTCATGTCGTGTTCTTGTCGCATGTGGTCCAGAGGTGCCCCGTCACGTAAGTGCATTGTCAGGCGTCGTGAGAGTGTCGTTGTGGTCACACCAGTGTAAGTGTATAGGACGCAGTTTGAGAGAGAGAGGACGGCAATTGCAGCCTTCCGATGTTGCATTGGAATTGATATTGCTGCATTGATTGCATTTTAGTTTGTTCGGTTTGTCTGGGCTTGTTTCTCATAAGAAAGTTTGATATTTTCTTATTGCCAATAGTTAAATGACAATGTCTATGTCTGTGGTCCGGTTTTGCCTTTAACAATGTTGAGAGATAATTTCCCGCTTAAAGCTTTTTCGTCCTGTTTGTGGGCAGATGTCATTTTAATTTCGCATTAATCCAAGTTTGACGGTCGGTTGGATGTCTTGCCTTGGTTTGCCTTCAAAGTGTCTTGTCATATGTCGTGTCTCGTTTTCAATGTCAGAATTTGAAAAACCGATGTTCACCATGAATTGAACCGTTGTTCACCAGAATTTGAAAAACCGTTGTTGTCCATGCAATGTTAATTTTTGCGAAAAGTTTACATTTGACCTGAATTGACAGTTCATCGATGACATTGGGTTGCAAAACTAAGGCGGCGACTACGAGATCCCGTAACATCGCACATGTGTGTCTGTATCCCGTTCCTCAAACATTTCTCGTTTGGAAGCACTAAGGGGGTCGTTGCTAGCATATGTCCACCCTATCACGGCGCTTGTGTCAGGATGTTCACAAGGACATTTCACGAGGGCGTCAGGATGGACACGGGCCAGTGCCAGGCACCTGCGAGGAGTCTCTGGTGCTTGCAGAAGCAGAGCTCTCCAAAGAGAGGAGGCTGGCGCCGAGACGGACTGTTTGGCGTGCTTTACGAGGAGGGCGTGTACGGATGGATCATCATCGGATACTGTGTCACTGATAATCTGCATCGTCAATCACGCAGCTTAACGTTCCGGCATTTTGAATGGGCCATCCCAAAACCACTGTCCTGGGTCTGTCGCAGCATTGTTTTATTCTGTCCTCCAGTTGGAAGCATGTAACAATGCAGAGTTTCACATTTCCACTCACAATAGCACAGTTTCACCCACCATTGTGCACAACATTATGCAATTGCATTTACTCACGCCAACCCATGAACTATTGTCAAGTCTCGAAACTATTCGTCCTCCACCGTTAACGTTTCCTTCAACAGGTCATGGCATGATCTGACTCAAACAGTGTGCATCTACCCTGATGCCGCTCTCATCACGTGTACATCAAGCAGACGTATGGACTCGTGAATCGGCGACAGCCCCGCTGTATGTAGGCCGTCGCGCACGACTGACCGGCGCCAATGTCGGCGCGACCCTGCCCAGAGCCGCGTGCCTCCTGTATCGTCGGCAGCGTGTGACAGTGCCGGCATGCGGCGCCGGAGTGTTGCGCGTGACCCCGACCCGTCCCCTGCCGCAGCCGAGAAGTGCGAGCCCCTGCTTCGGGATGAGGAGAGCCCGCCAGCCGCCAACACCAGCTTCATTTCCAACAACAACACCCTACTGGAGGTGGAGGCCGGAGAGAACGCGGTGCTGCCATGCCGCGTGCACCAGCCGCACACCAAGCGGGTAGGTCCCGGCGAAGGCGTACGATGCGTCTAGCCGCTCGTAGCTAGCAGCACGCGACTGTCGGGAAGGACCGGGATAGGGACAGTGAAGGGAAGGGCCGGACAGTGCCCCTCACTGCACGGATGTCTTGTTATGGTGCGAAACGACAATAAAGTTGCATCACGAACGGCAGAAGCAGTCATGTGTGCCAGCATGCAACCTGCGTTGCATTATTGGACGATATACGACCTACCTAGTTTGGCAGGCGGGAAACGTACGTAAAGAAAAGGCCATTTTTCTAACCGTTAGGAATCGAGTATTATGAACGTAGAGCGGTGTAAGGATGTTTCGCTACAAATAAAAGGTGCATAGTTTCCCAAGTTAGTGCGCTGTCAGCACAGTATAAACATATGCCAACCCATTTTCTGGTGGTTATTCACCCATCAAGTGCTCATGTGGGGGCCGGTATGTTGGGAAAACAACCACATGGTATCCCCCAGCAATTTTACATCGTTCGCAGTGGAATGCCACCGGGAGTTCCAATTAGTAGGATTCCTCACGTGTCAGTACAAGGTGATAACGCCACTTGTGTCCTGAATTGTCATTGACCCCGCTGGCTCCGTCGCCGTGACTCGGTGGAAGCTGGCCGCCACATTCAAGGTGATTCCAAGGAATGCAGCTTAGTGCTATTCAAAGCTGGATTTAAAGAATCATCCAAAGTCACAGTGTTTCCCTCAATGTTCCTATAACCGTGGAACAGCACAATGGATTTTGATGAACTGTTATTGTAGCGTAATTAGGGGAAGAGGGGGAGGTGTCGACATTAACTTAATTGTATTCTGGCTGGAGGTTATATTCAAGTTTTTTTGTAAATTGCTTAATAACTTTAAAACTCTGATATCATTGCCTTTTTCTTATGACAAGCAACGCGTCTGTCTTTGTTTCACATCTCTGACATTAACGTTATTGTATTGTGGCAAAAAGTTATATTCAAGTGTTTTTGAAAGATGTTGATAACTTAAAAGGTCGGACACCATTGCCTACTTCTCATGACAAGCGACGGGCCGTCTTTGTTTCACACCTCTAGTTTGATTTGTCGTATGGACTTCGTTGCCATTGTTCCACATTGATATAGGGTTTTGAACTGAAATGAACATCTTGAAGGCCTTTCGGCGTTGTTTGCAGTCCTGCCTTTCTTAAGACCTAAGCTCCTCTAACTTCTGAGCTACACGCCCACGAAGATACGGAAAGGTATATTGAGGAGAGTATTTCGGAGACGCCCTCGCATTCGTGACGCTGTAACAACATTCAAATCCCGTTATTACATAAGCCGGGCGGCGATCAAGGCAAAAATAGAAATTACTAAGGCGTTCATATCTGGCGTTCGTGAGCACGATTTCCAGATAAAGCGTCTGCCAGTTGGCTATCAGTCAAGGTTGTGCAAGGTGCGATGTCGTAATCAAACTATGACGCGTTGAAAAGCATATTCACTGAACCGAGATTTGTGCTGCCTAGAGCAGCCTTTCCACTGAAAAATATGTCAATAGTTACAAGTGAGCTTGTTTCATCATGCCTGATGCTTGCTTCAATATCTTCAAACGTGAAACATTCCCTTTGAAGCGGGACAGCTCTTTACGTGGACAGTGCAAGCGTGACAGTCGTCTGGCCGCTGCCACGGTCGTGGCCCAAATCGAGAGTTGGGTTCCACTACCTCAGCGGGCCCTCGCGTGTCATGCGTGCCGCTCACGTATATTTCCACCGACCTGACCTCAGCCAGGAATTTTGAAAGCCGCAGGCCGCCGCGCATCGCCAAGTAGTGACGCTACGAACTAAGTAGTACACAAGCAATCAATAATTCATTTCTAAACCAAAACGCACCTCACTTGGTGAACAACGCCCAATTCACAAATAAGACGACGTTTCGCTATTTAGTCCTGAACAAATATTACAGATGTTTATTAATTTAAATAGTTTGAGGTCTGTGTTGTCTTGAGCTGCTGTTGAGTTTCTATTTAAGTTATTTTTCTGCCTCGAAGACGCCAGCGTGTCCAGGCATTTGGAAGTCAAATTTGTTTAGGTAGTTGGGAGAAAAATACACACGGAGGAAAATTTTTGCAACATCTTGTGGCACTTGCCCTCTAACGTTTGATGAGAGAGGAAAGAGACATAGCATGCGGGATTGGCCATTAAATAACTGTGAACGCGGGTTCTCGCGTGGCGCACACAGCGCCCGAGGAGCATAGGATGGACGTACAGGCATAACAGCGCATAGGGCAGCAGTCACCAGCTTTAAAGTGCACCTTTTTGTGACAGCAAAAGATCATGCGTTTCTGTTGGCCTTTCTGTTAATTGCTTTCATAGAATCATATTTGTATCACATCAAAATTTATTATGTTTACCTGTAAATCAATATCTGCTTTTCCACCGTTGTTTGTGGTGGAATTTTTGTTATGCTGATAAACCTTTATGTTTGCGCTGAAATGGACAAGTGCGTATGTATTGCGTGCTTTATCCACTTACTTTCTCATTTTACGGCAATTACATGATAATCATTAGCATGAAGCATGGTTTGCTTTCATGACCTGCTTCTGTTCTAGCCAGCATATCATTATTTAAATCAGAATGCACTTAAACAACTGCATTGTTGCCCATAGATTTATACTTGTCGCTCAGTGTTTCAGGAATAAGCGTTCCTTCTGCTACGTTTCAACGAAGTTCGGCTGTGAAAGGGAGTGTTCCAACATTTGTGTGGGGTTTTAACCTGAAATAACCATCTTTAAAGTCATTCGGCGCAGATCATAGCCCTGCTCTTCACGGGCTTAAACCGCTCTCGTTTCTGAGCTATACGCCAGCTAAGATGTGCAAACTGTTTCGGGAAGGCTATTTCAAGGTCACACAGGCATCTTTGGCGATCTGATCACGTCATTAAAATCATGCCATTCCATTAGCCATGCGACAACCAAGGCAAAGGAAAATATAATTGCGGAGCCGTTCATATCTGGCGTTCATGAGCACAATTTCCAAATAAAACGGCGCCAGTTAACTCTCAATCAATGCTGTGCAAGCTGCGATGACGTAATCAAACAATGGCGTAATGAGAAACATGTTTACTAAGCAGAGAACTTGTGCTGCCTAAAGCAGTCTGTTCCACTTATTAGTATAACCATAGGGATAAGTGAGATTGCTTCATCATATCTGATGCGTGATTCAATATTTTCAAGTGAGAAAATCCCTTTAACCTGATCTACTTATTGTCACGTGCGTCAAACATACGACGCAATAAATCAGAGGACTCCGATTGAAGCTGTTCAGCACAGCTACCATGCAGTGGAATCGGATGGCGATTCAGGCCTCCACTACAGCGTGATGGTGCCTACATGACCAGTTCGGAGCCGTAACATGGCCAGTTCAAAACCGGATGGTGCCTACATGGCCAGTTCAGAGCCGGATGGTGCCTACATGGCCAGCTCAGAGCCGCGACTGGGCCGGATGTGTTCAATCTTAACTGAATAAGGCGAATCTCAATAGTTCATGCCTCTTTTTGTGGAGGTGAGACGGTGGTTCATCATATATTGATCAAAACAATAACAAAAAATGGATAGATGGTTTTATGAGCAACTTTGTGCACCACATCAGGCGTACTTGAAGTGAGCAAATATATCAGGATCAGGAGGTAACCTATATCTCAGAGCTCTTGTCGGTCTTTTTATTTCGGAGAGAGAGAGAGAGAGAGAGAGAGAGAGAGAGAGAGAGAGAGAGAGAGAGAGAGAGAGAGAGAGAGAGAGAGAGAGAGAGAGAGAGAGAGAGAGAGAGAGAGAGAGAGAGAGAGAGAGAGAGAGAGAGAGAGAGAGAGAGAGAGAGAGAGAGAGAGAGAGAGAGAGAGAGAGAGAGAGAGAGAGAGAGAGAGAGAGAGAGAGAGAGAGAGAGAGAGAGAGAGAGAGAGAGAGAGAGAGAGAGAGAGAGAGAGAGAGAGAGAGAGAGAGAGAGAGAGAGAGAGAGAGAGAGAGAGAGAGAGAGAGAGAGAGAGAGAGAGAGAGAGAGAGAGAGAGAGGAGAGAAAGAGAAGGAAGTGGAAGCAAGAGGACAATAAGAGCAAGAGGACGGAAGAGACGAAGAGAGGACCGAGGAAAGCTGCGATGTAGGGTCTGGGTCTCCTGAAGAAAGACAGAGAGTGAAAGCTGCCGTATGGTCGTGGGTCTGGGTCTCCTGAAGGAAGACACAGAGAGTGAAAGCTGCCGTATGGTCGTGGGTCCGGGTCTCCTGAAGGAAGACACAGAGAGAGAAAGCTGCCGTATGGTCGTGGGTCCGGGTCTCCTGAAGGAAGCTACCATGTGACGCCTGCTGAAGGCCTGCGGGTGCTGTATGACTTTCGCCGCAGCTTACGTTCCACCTGACAGACGCTCACTTGGATCCCGCGGGCCGTCCACGGGCCATCAGTCGAGACTTAGCTCGGCTGCTGCCAACCCAGCGGACCGGCCTGAACGGACTGCATATCCCAGCAGACCGGCCTGAATGGACTGCATGTCCCAGCAGACCGGCCTGAATGGACTGCATATCCCAGCAGACTGGCCTGAGCGGACTGCATATCACAGCAGACCGGCCTGAGAGGACTGCATATCCCAGCAGACTGGCATGAATGGACTGCATGACTGTCAGTACATGCTGACTGTCAGTACAGCAAATATCGAATGACTCGGAACGACATGCCAGCAACACATTGAGCTGAGACCCCAGCCTGCTGTGCAGTGTATTGAATTAATGTACCCTGATATCCACGAAGGTAGTGCCAAAGGCGCGGTGAGTTTTACCCATGCATCTAACCCTGCAGAAGAAAATCTACAGGATCATCTCTGACATCAATAAGCCGAGACCTGCTGAGCTTCAGCGGGTGGATGGTTCCGAGAAAGTCCAGATCAGCCATGTGTCAGGCATTAGACGAGCGCTGTATTAAGCCGCGCCCAGCCGGAGGGAGGGAGGGGGGGGGGGCAAACTGACTTCCCCTTACGGTTTTTTCGAGCACAG